GGTCTTTAAAACCTCTTCCGCCGCATCTCACACAAACACGCACAGAGGCACCCTAGAAACGTCCCTCGGTAAGAATCCAAACTAGCTACGGCCGGATGGAGTCGTTAGGTGATTGGGGTTTGCATGAAATGGCGAGGGGAAAGGGGAAGGAATATAGATGCAGGTCGTGGCTCAGTCTTCTCACCTATTTGATGGAAATCATCAAATACATTGATGTGCACAAAGCACGTAGAGAGCGCCCGGCACGCAGTGGGTGCAGTGTGTGTATTTGGGGGATAACAAGCGTAACCTTAGGCGAGCAAGCCCTCTTGCTTCTGGAGGAAGCAGTTTCTCCACCTGTAACAATGCCTGCGGAGGTCTTCATTCTTTCTTTCTTTCAAAAGCATCCTGAACGGGGAGGTGGGCGTCAAGATGGACACGATGCCTTGTCAGTGTTGTGGACCTCAAGGGGCCCTTCTTAGTCTAAAATGGTCTGGATGGCTGAGTTATCCTGTTCTTCAAAGGAGCTCTCACATCTGTGATAACTGAGCATCTGGAGAAAGCTACCTGACAGACTCATAGGAGTTGGCTTGAATTTGTCTGTGGCACTCTTTCTAACATCCTTTTAATAAACATTTCCACAATGTAAAAGTTTTACACTTCCTAGCTCATGTGTGTGCTCTGATTATAACAGTAATGCACGTTCATTGTAAACATTTTGGAAAATATTCAAGAGTATCAGGAAGAATATAAAAATTTGCGATCCCACCGCCCAGAAGTGACACTATTAATGGTATGAGCATCCTGAGGAATTTCCTTCCTGGTCTTTTAAATGTGTGTGCACTGAAAATCTGGAATTACAATTTGTAACCCACTTTTATTTTTTCTTTAGCAACAGGAATATTTTTTCAATTCATGAAAGTCTCTGACAACACAGCTTTAACAGCTGTATATGTTCTGTTTGGATATATGTACGTTACTACTGGATATGAGGCATTGTATCTCAAGTATTCAATGTTATAAGTAACTCTAGAATGAATGCCCTTGGAACATATTCTGTGCACACATCTTCTCATTTTCTATGATGTCTTTTATAGGATTGAAATCGTTGAATCACGTGGTGTATGTATTTTTAAAGTTTTTGGTGAATACTGCATAAATTCCCTCCAAAATTTTGTATCAGTTGTTACCAACAGTTTATGGTACTGTTATAATACTTCAAATATTTGCCATTTTGGTAGAAGAAAAAATTGTTATCTTATTAGTATTTTTAAATGTATTTTTATAATTAGTAACATTGAATAATTTTTTCATATATGTTTACTGACTATGTGTTTCCTTCTCTTATCAGTGTATGTGAATTTTCCACTGGCACTCTGGTCATTTTTCTATTGAAGTTCCATCTTTTTTTATTGATTTATAAGCAATCTTTATAAGTTTTTTGTATTATGCCTTTATTTACCATTTATGTCACAAATACTTTTCTCAGTTTGTAGTCTTTCTTTTAATTTCCTGGTGACCCTTTTTTTTTGCAGAAGATTGACATTTTTATATACTCAAACATAGCAACATTTCCTTTTGTGATTTCTTCCTAAGTTTTATGCTTAGAGGTACCTGTACCTATACAAGATCATTCAAATGCCTATATTTTCTTTTTATATGTATTTTTACTCTTTAATCCATCTAGAATTTGAGTCAAATTACATTATTATTTTTGTCATCTAAATGAGATCTAACAGCATGGCAAGTGGATTGAAAACAGTTTCTTTTCTTGTAAAAGTAAAGTTCATCCCAGTCAATATACCTAAGTTAAACAACAATTAGAGGTTTTCCCGATGGGGACAATTTGCCACTGTCAATAAACCATTTTCTCATAGGAGTCTTACCTATACAAAACATCTTGATATTAGGTAATTACAACCAGCAAACAGACATATAAAGAAAGGAAAATAATCCAATAAAATAAAAATTCTACAAATCCTTCATACCTGTTATTTTAGAATCTAACAGCAGACTGTTCAAATGGTTTGTAATTATCTGATTGATAACTTTACCCTTGAAAGCTTAATTTTTCAGAAAGTACTTTAATAAAGAAAAAAAATTTAATTCCTAATGGAATTGGGGTGGGGTGGGGTCAACAATGAAGATTTTAAAATTTAAAGTCACCAAATGGTCATAGATTTTTCCACTTTATTTTATGCAGTGTGTATCTGAAAATTAAAACAAACTTTTTAACAATCAAAAAAAGCCATAGCCATATCCAAATGATGTTAAACACATAGATTTGCTTTATTTTTTAACTGAAAGCAGATTATGATATAAATAGCCCAAGTTTTTTAAGCACACAAAGGTTAGGGAAAAAACCTGAGTGACTTAAAATAGCAAGTTTTTTTAAAAATCCGTTAACAGTCAAAATGAAAAAATTAATATAAATTCTGTATCTAATTAACATAATTTTGGCAAATGTATGTTGCTGGTTACGCATGCAGGAGAACACGTATTTCTGGAGAGCAAATATTAAGAGCCTTTAATATTTTTATGCCTTAATCCAATAATTTTTACTTCCAGGACTCTAAGTAACTATTAAATAAGGAGCACAAAGCTTCTGTACAAGAATACTCACTGTGGTCTAATACAATTAAAAATGAAATAATCTTTTGTGCCCCAAAATAGGTGAATGGCTAATTAAATTGTTTTTTCACATGGTAGGATTAATCAGACAATGAAAATTATGTTTTCCAAAGAATATTAAGTGAATTGAGGAAATGTGACTGTATAACATTAATGTAAAACAGCTGGAAATAAACTGCCTGTCTTGGCTCCTGCTTCAGACTTTCCTAAAATCTCTTGAAGGTTCACAAATTGCAAACGAGCAGCATCTGGTCCTAAAGTGCCCTGTATATAGCTCTAGCTAAGTGGCCCCAGGCTCGACACTAGTGGCAGCCCACCTTGTTTCACAGCTTGACCTCTCCCGGGCATCTCCAAGCCCAGCACAAGTAGGAGCCATCAGCAGATCACTCTGTAGCTCGTGCTGGGTGGCCCCAGGCAGGGCACAGTCTGTGACTAACCTTGAACCACCTGTGAGGCCCCAAAGCCAGTGCACCTGGTGGACAGCTTCAGACCATGTCAGGTTACAACCCTACCACCTCCACAAACAACACACTAAAGGATTGGACTGAAGCAAGTCCTGCACCATAGGGTCAGCTCCTGCACAGTAGCTCCTCCGCTATAGTTGCAGCCAATCCTCATAGCCGATCTGCATGGAGGTCAATCCTTCCCAGTGATGCCAACAGCAATCAAGGCTCAACTACAAGAGGACAGTGCATACAGCCCACACAGAGGCACACCTGAAGCATCCAGATCAGGTGATTGGGGAGGCTGTGCCACTGGGCTCTACAGACACCTGCTGCATAAGGCCACTCTACCAAGTCTGGGAGACATAGCAACTCTACCTAATACATAAAAACAAGCTTAGGGAAGCAGCCAAAGTGCAGAGACAAAGAAATAGGACCCAAATGAAAGAACAGGAAAAATCTCCAGGTAAATAAAGAACTAAGTGAAATGGAGGCAAGCAAACTACCACATACAAAGTTCAGAACAATGGTTATACATATGCTCAAAGAACTTAGTGAGAACTTCAAAAGCATGAAAAAGAACATAAAAACCATAAAAAAGAACTAGTCAGAAAGGAAGGACACACTAAGTGAAATGAAGACTAATTTATAGGAAATCAACAGTAGAGTAGAAGACGATGAGATACAAAGCAGTGATTTGTAATATAAGGAAGCAAAAACACCCAATCAGAATAGCAAAAAGAAAAAAGATTCCAAAAAAGTGAAGATAGTGTAAGGAGCCTCTGGGACAAGTTTAAGCGTACCAACATTTGCATCATTGTGGTGCTGAAAGGAGAAGAGAGAGAGCAAGAAATTGAAAATCTACTTGAAAAAATAATGACAGAAAACTTTCCTGATGTGGTGAAGGAAATAGATGTACAAGTCCAGGAAGCACAGAGAGTCCCAAACAAGATGAACCCAAAGAGGCCCACACCAAGACACACCGTAATTAAAATGCAAAAGGTTAAAGACAAAGAGAGAATTTTTTTATTTTTTTTTTTTAATATATCTTTATTGATCTCAGAGAGAGGAAAGGAGAGGGAAAGAGAGAGATAGAAACGTCAATGATGAGAGAGTCATTGATCGAGCCTGCAACCCAGTCATGTGCCCTGACCCGGAATCAAACCCTGATCGCCTGGATCCCAGGTTGACGCTCAACCACTGAGCCACGCCCGGCAGGGCCAAAGAGAGAATCTTAAAAGCAGCAAGAGAAAAGCAGTTAGTTACCTGA